ATCGGATCCACATGACACCTTATTTCCAGCTCCACCGCGGTCCTCCGTCACTTCCTCTGCCACCACGTGCAGTCCCACAAACAAGAGAAGTTTGTGGGCACTCCCACAAACAAAAGAAGTTTGTGGGCAGTCCTACAAACAAAAGAAGTGGGACTAAAAAAGTTCAATCAATCAATTCCAACTTTACAAGATTTTTTTTTCTGTGATTAGTTGCAATTGATTGATTGAACTTTTTTAGTCCCACTTCTTTTGTTAGACTGCACGTGGTGGCAGAGGACTGGCAGCCGCAGTATAGGGATGAAAGAGCTGCATGCGGCTTCGGAGCCGCGGGTTGCTGACCCCTGGTATAGGGTCTCCTGCCTGAGTAGAGGGTTGGACTAGAGGACCTCCAAGCTCCCTTCCAACTATTCTGATCTGATAGACTGAAGTTTTACCTCTACATAAAAAGCTTAGCTCCTGCTCCTAAAGGATTTGTGAGAAGTGTGTGGAGGCAGTAAGGCTACTTATATCTTGGACTTTAGAAATACACCCTTTTAATATAATTGTCATTTGTCCTTGTTAAAATGTTTCAGTTTTAAGGTTGAGATATTAATGGATTTATGTTTATATATGCTAAATTTGAAAGCAGTGATTTGATTTTAAGGGGCTTAATTTTTTATTGATTTTTTAAAAACCACATAACACATACTTCTTAAACTTCCTGAAGCTTACTACAACTCCATTTGAAAAAAATTATTTGTTAAAGGTCTGTAGTGAAATTGTATATTAGAATGAAATGCACATTGAGTACTTTGGCTGCTAATTTTGTAGTAATTAAAAGCTTTGGATTTCAGACCACTCAGAATTTGTGGTGTGCTTATACATTTGGTAGGATTATCTTGGATTGCAGAGGAGTAACTTTAAACCCTTACAATACCCATTGATCTGTCTGTCACAAAAAATTCTAATTGTGTAACACACAGAGAGAGAGAGAGAAAAAGAAAGAGAGCGAGAGAGAGCGCACATATGGGACTAAAAGCTAAGAAAATGTTAGGCCTCAAAAGATAACATTTCTAATGTTTAACAGACAATGCTGTTGCTAATACAGATTGATTGTTCAAGAATTAGTCTAGTGATCAAAGCCTGTTTATGTACTGTATTTACAATAATTGCTTTTACCATGATGTTACTGAACAAACCATAGTTGGTTAAGAGATTGTACTGCAGTACACAATAAACTGTGCTTTGCAAATGATAAAAGACTGGGTTCATACACTGCACTAATTGAATATAAATGTAAATGAATCAAATCTTATGGTTTACTGCACTATATATTGTATTTCCAAGGATCAGGTGTAGAGAAACCAAATTATCTTAAATCAGCTTTAAGGTTTACTAACTAGCTTCGTACCGGTCTGTTAGCATACACTTTTTTAATGTGTTACTTTAAAGGCAAAATGATGGCATAGAGTGGGAATATTAAATATATCCTACTTTGAGGCCTTTGGAAGAAAAGGGTCAGAATCACATGGTTTTAAAAATAATAAAGGATAAAATCTTGGTTATCACTGATGAGAAAGAAATACCTATAGAAAAAATTTGTGCTGCAAAAAGGAGGGGAATAAATGTATTTGGGAATCTTCCAGATCTTGGATTTCAGCTCCCAGAATTACCAGCCAATAATAGGGTAACTGAGACTGTTTGGAGTTGAAGTTCACCAATTGGGAAGATGCCAAGATCTGAGAAGGCTATAGTAGACTAGCCTGGGTCAGGATATTGATAGCAGATATTTTGGTTCTTCTGCTACATTAGCTGGTATTGGTAATTTACTGTAGTAAATCAACCTATCTTCTCAAGAAGGACATTTGAAAATAACTAGTATTTTCCCATTTGGAAAATAGCCCAAATATTGCAACTTACTTGTTAAACCATCTTGTTTTATAGTAGTATCTTGTAATTTGTAATGTTGCAAAGGAGGATTATGATCAGAAGCAGGTAATACATAATCAGTCTTTCTGTGGGACTTGGGTTTGGCTAGTCCACAGGTCGGCAACCTGCGGCTCCGGAGCCGCATGCGGCTCTTTGGGCCTTCCCCTGTGGCTCCCAGCCTCCTCTGCCTTTGCAGAGAGAGACAGAGACAGAGAGAGGCAATTGTGCTTCCCTGCTTCTCTCTCTCTCTCTCTCTCTCTCTCTCTCTCTCTCTTTCTCTCTCTGTTTGTGTGTTTGTGTTTGTCTGTGTGTGTGTCTGTGTCTGTGTGTATGTGTAAAAGAGTGCACTCACAGTGTTCTCTGAGGAGCTGAAAAGCTTACTGGGCGGAGCTCCTCCCTTTGCTGCGTCTCTGCAGGAAGCAGGAAGCAGGAAGGGCAGGAGAGAGCTAGCTAGCCCAGCTAGGCTGACTCAGGAATTCTGGGAGTTGAAGTCCATGAGTCATAAAAGAGACGAGGTTGCTTGTTGGACAACAGCTTGAAGCTTGAAGGAGGGGGGGAGAAAGAGAGAGAGAGAAAGAGAGGGAGAGAGAGAGAGAAAGAAAGAAAGAAAGAGAGCGAGGGGGGGAGGGAAGAGGAGTGGCAGACCAAGGGCAGATAGAGAGGGAGGGAGAGAGAGACAGAGAGAGAGAGAGAGACCCTTTTGACATCTAAAATGAAGATAACACTGCATATATCCTTTTTTTACCTGTGTGTGTGTGTGTGTGTATACACATACATACATACATATACATACACACACACACACACATACACACACACACACACAAACACACACCTATAATAAAGGTAAAAAAGGATATATGCAGTGTTATCTTCATTTTAGATATCAAAAGGGTTTTGCGGCTCCCGGTGTTTTGTTTTTGGTGGGAAACGGGTCCAAGTGGCTCTTTAAGTGTTTTGGGTTGCCTACCCCTGGGCTAGTCTAAAGAAAAGATGAAATAGGGGAGACATGATAGCAGTATTCCAGTATCTGAGGGGCTGCCACAAGGAAGAGGGGGTCACGTTGTTCACCAGAGCACCAGAGGGAAGGACAAGAAACAATGGTCGGAAACTGATCAAAGAGAGAAGCAACCTGGAATTAAGGAGAAACTTCCTGACAGTAAGGACAATCAACCAGTAGAACAGCTTGCCTCCAGAAATCGTGGGCATTCCATCACTGGAGATTATTAAGAAGAGACTAAACAATCACCTGTCTAAGACAGTATAGGTTCTACTTGAGCAGGGGGCTGGACTAGAAGACCTCCACAATCCCTTCCAGCTCTTCCTATTCTATTCTTCCACGTGGCATTCTAGTCCCCAATTTTTCTACAAAAGCCACTTTAAATTGTTTGGGACAATTGTGTGATTCTAGTACCCCTGGGAGTACCCCAAGATCCTCTCAGGGATCCTTGAAATCAAAATTATTTGCCAGATATTGAAGATATTTGTAAAAAATTAAAAGAGTGTCATTCTTCTCTTTTTAAAAAAAAAATCTCATAAAAATACATGTTTTTTCATGAAAATAATGGATTTAATGTTATTTTTACAGGATTCAATAACTATTCTATGAATGAATCCAACAGATTAAAGAGACGTTAGTTTAAGAAATACATGTGTATCTGAATGGATGTCTACAGATCAATATCTCTATTATGTACATCTCTCTGTATTGATTGTGCCTAATAACAGGTAAAATCAAATCAAAGTAGAGTATTTAATGTGATTCAGATTCAATAATACTTTTCACTTGGTTACTATCTTGACTATGCCAAATGACATGTAGATTAAAATAAAAGGAAAGATGTATATAATACTTGTAATCGGATCAGATTTATTCGCCTTTAGGAAAACATTTCCCCCAAAATAAATTTCTTTTTACTTAAGGTGTCTGGACCATAGGCACCAAAAAAAGAAGAAAAAATAATCTTTGAAAATTTGAAGTCCTATGTTGGTGATTTTTATTACACTAAAATATTATTTAGCATTTTGGTAAATGTTACACTAATTCAGAATATTTGTACATTCATATTGCTTAGATCTCATCCATCCCTCTACCAGTAAATTTGTGTTTTGGTAATTGATACACTTGTTCAGAGACAATAAATATAAAATATTTTAGCCATGCTTGTTTATCTCCCACATAAACTTCATATTCAAGTTATTATTTTTAATGGACAAAAATCTTATTTATATTTAGTTGCTATATAAAACCAATTGTTTTAAAACTAAGACTTAGTTTTTAAGTATTCAGAGGGGCATAAACAAGCTTTCCTAATGGCTGGCATTTGAAGTGGCCCCATGATTTCAAAATGGCTGCCCATTGGGTGTTAAATGACAGCAGATACTGCTTACTGTCATGAGGAAATACTTTTTTCTTTTCTTTTTTTTAAGATAATGCTATTAGATTTCTTTTAAACTTGTTAAAAACTAGCACATTTTATTTTATAAAGAAATATTTAAATAAGCCTTTACAAATGGTTCAGTATGCTCTGGGACATAAGGGCTTGCATAAAACAACTTCTTAAATGGTTTTGTAATAAGAGAATACCATTCCTAAAAAAAATTGTATTTCCCATACTTTTTAGGATAATAATGTGGACTTCTAGGATTCTGCAAGTGGAATAGCTGAATAATTGTCCTGTTTCTTTCACTGAGGCAGTTTCTTCTTTATGACAGAGTGCTGAAGATAATGTTCCACAGTAACTCCCTAAGGCAGTTTCCTTGCAGAGATTAGTAACTTCCTTTGATAATTGCATCATTTTTAAGATAAATATTTAGTAAAATCTGAATGCATAGCTGGATTGCACATCTTTAAACTTAGATTACATTGGAGCATTTGTTAAAAGTGTTGGGAAACTGTTGATCACATTGTATATTTGTGTCAAAAGAATACAGAAATTGCCTTCTGACTTCATTGCACTATTTAAAACATTGTGTGGAAGAAAGAACACTTGATATCATAAAAGTATATAGTCTTTGGTTTCAAACTATTGTACTGATTTATTTTTATTCCTAAATTAACATTAATTTGTTTTCAAATTCTCTTCGCATAGGTGGTGACATTCTTGGTGATTCTGAGCTACAGCAATTTTCTTCAAGCTTAAGAAGACGAAGAAGCTCAAAGCATTAAATTCAGAGATGTGAACAGACCGGTTTTGCTGAAAGCCAAGCTACATAAACTGCAGAACAACATAAGCAATTCCACCTCTTTCATATAACAGCTAGTAACATTTTTTATGAAATTATTTCTTTCTGGCAGAGGGTTAGCTACATCTACAGATGAGCAGAATATCCAATAACCCTCCCTTGAAGGAGTCATCAGGGCTCAAACATCTGCTACTAAACAACTGGGAAATTTCTGAAGGGGCCCTATTTCTTGCATAAAAACAGCTTGACACTTCTTGTTAAAACTGCCAAAGGAAATATGCCAACTCAGCCTCTTTTGGTGTACATGGATGGTCCAGAAGGTATAGCCAGTACTGTTGGTTCACGAATGGACAGTAATGATGCCACTATGCCAGTAAAAGGAGCCAACACAATCTCCTATAAGAACTTGCAAGACAAGTTCTTAATGCAAAGTGAAGGATGTGTATCTTTAGACTGCATGTTTTGTGAACAGACTTTCAAGCATTCAGAAGATCTCGGTAAGCATGTCTTAACGCAGCATCGGCCGACACTTTGTGAACCAGCAGTTTTGCGTGTGGAAGCGGAGTATGTTAGCCATCTTGATAAAGGACAAGGGAGAATTGATTTGCCATCACTGGACGTAAATGAAAAGGATAGCCAAGACTTCAGCTGTGTGGTTTGTGGGCAAACATTTGATGAGGCTTTTGATGTTGAGGCCCACATGAGGAAGCATAAGGATTCTTTCACTTATTGGTGCAACGTATGTGGAAGGAGATTTAAGGAGCCCTGGTTCCTCAAAAATCACATGAGGACTCACACTGGGAAACCTGGCTCTCGCAGCAAGGCACTGCAAGGATCTGAGAGTCCGGTAATGATAAATGAGGTTGTTCAGGACCAAGTGACAGAAAGTATAACATCCCCTTATAAAATCTGCATGGTGTGTGGCTTTCTATTTCAGAATAAGGAAGGCTTAATTGAGCACAGCAAAGTACATACCAAAGATTCTCTAGCCAACAGTAATGGCTCTCCGTCAGAAGGGGATGGTAAAGAAAGTAGGACACCCAGAGAAGAATTTCTGCAATTTTTAAACCTAAAGCCACTTTCACCTTCTAATAACATCAAACAGAAAAAGCCCGTGAAATGGATTGCTGAGTTGGATCCGTTCAGTACCTATCAGGCATGGCAGCTGGCAACTAAAGGTAAAATTGCTATTGGCCACGGGCAAACAAAAGATGCTGGCCAAGAGGGAAGCACAGACAATGATGACTCATCTTCGGATAAAGAAGAACTTGGGGAGATTTGGAACTCAAGCAAAGCAAACCAAACTGAAAGCACAGGAAAGACCAAGGGAAGCAGAGGTGGAAGTTGTTACACAGGGATTGGTAACGTGCCACAAGACAAATTCAAATATCCTTGCCGCAAAGTGCCTTCATTGCATATGTCCCAGAACAAAGGCAAGCCTACCCATTGTTCAGAGTGTAACAAAGCCTTTCGAACTTACCACCAACTCGTCCTTCACTCCAGAGTCCATAAGAAAGAACGGAAGAATGATATGGAAAGTGGCAGTGAGGAAGGGAAGCAGCTGAGAACATGCCTTCCTCACCCTGGGACCCTGGATGAGAACGGAGTCGAACGACTGGAGGGGGTGTCTGAAGATGGCTCTGAGGATGGGATAATAGAGACTTCAGGTAAGACCGCTTAGGAACCGTTCACAATAAATAAAAATGTAGTTTGTTCATTTAGTTCTTAATACGGTGTCCGTATTAAAGATAATGTGGAGGGGAGAGACGGTTTGGATGCTTTCCAAGGAATATTATCACAGCATCATCATAGGCTATTTTTAAGTCATGGCATAATTTGCATCTACACCAAAGGAAAAGATGCTTGCATAATCTTAAAATGCATAGCGTTTTTCATATACATATTATGACATTGGTGTGCAGAATTGTATAAAAATATAGTGTAATGGAGGATTAGACAGATGGATATTTTCATTCCTTTAATGCTAGACATTTAAAAAAAAATTTTTTTTCACCACAGCTGAGAGTTTACTCAACTAAAGATACTGGTAAATCTTTTTGTTACACAATACAGGTAATTCTCAATTTACGACCACAATTGAGCCAAAAATTTCTGTTGCTAATTGAGACATTTGTTAAGTAAATTTTGCCCCATTTTACAATCTTTCTTGCCACATATGTTAAGTTGGTAACATAGTTGTTAAGTGAATCTGGCTTCCCCATTGACTTTGCTGTCAGAAGGTTGCAAAAGGTGATAACATGACCCCAGGACACTGCAACCATTTTAAATCCATACTAGTTGCCAGTTTTCTGAATTTTGTTCACATGACCACAGGATGCTGCAGTGGTTATAAATGTGAAAAATGATCATAAGTTATTTTTTTCAGCACCATTATAACTTCAAATGATCACTAAATGAATGGTTGTAAATTGAGGACTACCTGTACTCATGCTTTGTGCTTTGGAGAGATTGGCAGAAATTTTGAGATAGCTACATAGGTCCTTTTTATATAAAACAACCAGTATCACACGTTTGCACTCACCACTACTCTATAGTCACTTCTGTTTATCAAACTTCAATGCAGTTACAACTGGAAACAACCTTAAATGAACATAATACGGTGTCTGCTGCCCTCTAGTGCTTGCACGCAAATTAGATTGGGCAAAGTATTTCACCTTTCATAAATTTGATGATTTGGTGATTTTGTATTGAGATTTGGGCAGCTCTCAGTATAAAATACTGCACAAATACTATAAGATAAATAAAAATGTAGTAAGGGTAACTGAAGAAATAAATACTTGTCTCCAATAGAATCCAGTAGAATCTGATAGGATTCTAATTTAGAAGGATTCTTCCCTAAAATTAAGTAGCATTAATTCTCTTTTAAATAATACAGGTTTACATAAGGCAGTAAGATGTGAGGTTGCCAATTATAAATAAGGCAGTAAGATGTGAGGTGGCCAATTATAAAAACTAAACATATATTTTACAATGAAGTTTTCTAATGAATGAAAATGTGGCTGCAGCATGGTTTTAAAAATGACTGCTTGCTTCAGCTTGAAGAATGGCTCTTGGAAGCTTAAATTTCCGACTTGGAATTATAGCTAAGCTACACAAGCCTACTATCCATGTTTCCCATCCCACTTAAAATTCTTCCTAGTACATAATGTTATCTTGTTATCCTGTTATCTGCTTTTCAGATTAAATCCTGCAGAGTGTAAACTCCCAAATTGTGTTCCCTGGGAAGGGCCTCTATGTAACCTGAAAAAGTGATCTACTCACTACTTAATAGTTGCATTGAAAGGCTGTACTTTTGTGAGTTGTTTTTGCAGTCTGCGTGCCAAATGTCTCTGCATACTTTCTAAGATGTAGTGTACTTGTGCGTCCATGTGAGAAAAAGAACTTGCAAAAAAATATTTCTGTCTCTTGTGCCCAGATGTCATTTTTTTTAATGCCCCAATTGTTTTAAATGTAATAGTGCTGTATGTAAAGGTGAAAATCTCTCAGTCCACCAATGTCTTTTTTGCTGCCTAGAGGGCATTTACCATCTAAAATGGTCAGGAATTCTGGGAGTTGAAGTCCACAAGTCATAAAAGAGCCAAGGTTGACTACCCCTGATCTAAACAGATAGTTTAAAATAACAGATAGACGGTTTAAAATATTTCAGGTGGAAATAAATTTTTAAAAAGAATAAAAATCATTCCATAGTAAAATTAAATTTTACTTTGGAATTTTAATTTTGTGGTTTTAACAAAGAAAAAAACAGACTACTTTTTGTGGCAGTCTGTTAACTCAAAACTACTTCACAAGAACCAGATATTATAGGTATTCCTTGACTTATGACCACAATTGAGCCCAAAATTTCTGTTGCTCAGCAAAACATTTGTTAAGTGAATTTTGACTTATTTTACGACTTTTCTTGCTACAGTTAAGTGAATCACTGCAGATGTTAATGACACGGTTGTTAAGTGAATCTGGCTCCCCCATTGACTTGTCAGAAGGTCACAAAAGGGGATCACATGACCCTGGAACACTGCAGCCGTCATAAATAGGAGTCAGTTGCCAAGCGTCTGAATTTTGGTCACATGACCATGGGGATGTAGCAATGGTCATAAGTGTGAAAAACGGTTATAGCTCACTTTTTTCAGTGCCATTATAACTTTGAACAGTCACTAAATGAACTACTATAAGTCGAGGATTACCAGTACTGCGGACTTGTATGATTGTCTTTAAGATGCAGTGTATGCAAAAGAGACCTAATAATATTTTTGACCTAGAACAACTTTAAAAGGAAGAGTGGGGAAAACATCCAAAAAAGAGGAATAGAAAGGTTATTAGTTGGCCAGAGGAAAAATTTGGAAGCTGCTATTTCTAGCAAAAATAGTGTCACAAAGTAATGACAGAGAGTTTTCAAACTTTTGCACAGCATATTCATATTTTTTAAAAAAAAATTCTGTAAACAACTGTGTATTATTAGCATATATGTTTCAAGAAAGATATTATGTTGAGTAACATCTTGTAGAGCAGTGGTTCTCAACCTGTGGGTCGGGACCCCATTTGGGGTCGAACGACCATTTCACGGGGGTCACCAAACAATGCAGTCCGCCATGGTTTTCCCCTTTTCCTTAGCTGTGCTACTCCCTTTTATTCTATTGGCTTTTGAAAGCCAATAGAATAGACTCTCTTGAATAGAGTCTAATTCTATTGGCTTTCAAAAGCCAATAGGAATTGTCCAGCCTCTCCCTGCCCTGCTGAGCCCGCCAAAAGTCCCATTCTGCAAACGGTGCTGCACCAGTTGAGTAGTCCTCGACTTACGACCGGTTGGGGGTCACGGCATTAAAAAGGTTGAGAACCACTGTTGTAGAGGCTATGCCGTTTTACGCTCTTCCTACAATCCATTAAAACAGTTTGATCATGGATAACTAAAACTTTTGCACACAATTATATCTCACTGCCATAGTTAAAATTTGTTCCTTGATGGAATCAGAATAGAATAACTTTGTTACTTTAAATGTACACTAATCAGCATACATTAAAATGAAATTTCATTACATTCAGCTCTCAAAGGCTTGCAGGAAGATGGTAGATTAGATGTACAAAATACACTGAGCAAGTGTGAGTAATGTGAATGAGATATTGATAAAATCAATATGTTCCTCCCTCCCTCCCTCCCTCAGATGTCAATTCCAAACTCTGTAGGCCCCAAAAAGATTAGAGTAAAATCTCTCTGTAAGATCAGGAGTATTGTATTCTTGGCAGATATCTTTGCAAAATAAGCCAAATCCTGTTATGTCTTATATTTCTTCCCTTTATTTTTTTGATTTAACAATTTTGCAGCATACGGATATACAGATATAAATAGAGATACATGTTCATTTCCCTCTTTTAGGAAGTACATTAACAGTACTCTGCTTGTTTACTTACTATTTTTTTCTTATTATTATAATCCTTTATTTAAAACAAAAGTAAATTTTGAGAAAAGGTATCTACGAATGAACAAATTATTACAGAGGTTGCCCAATTACTACTCAATATATCTGTTTTTTTTACAGTGTCCAGAATTGTGCTTCTTACTTTTCTTTATTTTTATTTTTTCCCAATCTAAAGATAAAAATGAAGACGGGTTGGAAAGATCAAAAGTAAAAAACCTTGGAGCTACTAGAGAATGCAGCTACTGTGGAAAGTTTTTTCGTTCAAACTATTACCTCAATATTCATCTCAGAACTCATACAGGTAAAGAAAACTGGATTATGCTTTTGGTGAAGAATCAAAAGGAGAGCATTTTCAATAAGTAAAAGGCAAACATGATTCAATTTTGATATTCATTGGAAAAATAGTTTGTTGCATGCTGATAAAATAGGGTAAATTTCCCTTGACAGTAGAGACCACCAAACCAATGGACTGGGTAAAAAGAGCTAAATAAATAAATAAAACTTTCTTAGAGTTATTGAGGAGATCAGACTACTTTCCATGTAGATTTCTGGATAATGTTACGAAAATGGTTGGCTGTTGTCTCCTTCCTATCCTGCTATAAACCCCAAAATTGTGAGTCAGCTCTTTAACAATCTGGAAAAGCTCTTGGCTATCAAGGGATTTTTTTAAAAAAATAAATAAATACAAGAGTTAGCTTTTTAGCAAAGATTTTAAAAGAGCAACATTAAGGTTCCTGCTATTTGCTAATCTCGCTTTATAGCCCACAGTTGATCTGCAGTTGTTAGGATTGTAATCGGTGGTGGGAGGAAAGACTTCCATTACTTCTGATACCAAGAATATTGGCATATTTCTCAATTCCCCCCCCCCCGCCCGCCCGCCAATCTTTTTGTTTGTTTCAGTCAAACCTGTCTTACTGGTTGGATAATATGGGGGGAAGTGGAGGAAAGAGTGAGTACTGTTCATGCCAACTTTAGCTTCTGGAGTTAAAATAAGTCTGAATTCGAATTACTCTACAAATTGCTGTGATTAGCAATTGGGAGGCCTGAAGTTCTTCAAACATGCCTTGTATCTCCAGGAGACCGAGCAAGGTAAATATTAAGGATTTGCAGTACAGTGTTGGAAAAAGCCTCAGGCAGACTAACAAATGAGTCCTACATGCGTATAAAGACAGAAGAAGAATTAAAGGTTTTAGGCACCACATGCAATATTACATGTCCTTACTTTTTCTCTCTCTGGGCTAAGCAAACCATCTCTTTTAATATCTAAAAATGAAATCAAAGCCCAATTCCTAAGTGCAATTAATGAAACCATTATTCTGGCAAAATATTTGTTGTTCTAAGATGTTTAGTAGCAGTAAAGAAAAAGCATAGCATTTATTTCTGTTTTCTGGTAAATTAAAAGAAGGAAGTGGCAGTTTTCTGACTTTTGACTCATTATTTTTGCAGGAGAAAAACCATACAAATGTGAATTTTGTGAATATGCAGCAGCGCAGAAAACCTCTTTGCGCTATCATTTAGAGAGGCATCACAAGGACAAACATACAGAAGCTTCAACAGATTTGAAAAATGACAGTAAAGGGTTATTGCCTTCCCAGGAGGCAGGCTTCTTGTCAGTAAGCGGTCATGCTCCAGAAACCAAAAATCTGAAAAGGCTCCTTGAAGACGCCAAAGATGCCAAAGGAGTCTTCCCACCTGTAAAACAACAGAAAGAAGAGTTTTACCTTTTTTACAATGCGCCAAAAGATATAACTCAGGACACAAGCAAAAACTCTGTCTGTGATGGCTTGAAAGAGGGCGCATCTGTTTCAGTTTTAAAACATGAAAAAAACACAGTGGAGCATCAGGCAAACAGTCTTGTGAACAGAACTGAAAAGAAGAACTCTGAGTTAACAAAAAATGTGTTTTATGCTGGCAGAACGAAGGCGGATTTAAGTGACATTACTGAAAACTCAAAATGCAGATTAACAGTTCAAGAAAAGCCCTTAAATTTATCTACCGCCTCTTCTCAGGATGCTCCAGTAATTCTTCATTCACGGTGTTCCTTAGCAACCAGCACCTGTCCCTTTTGTACTTTCCGGACGTTATACCCAGAAGTTCTCATCATGCATCAACGGTTGATGCATAAGTCTGCTAATAATCTCAATGCAGTTACTAAAAGTAGTATTAGAAATAAGGCCGCTCATAAAGCCAGACGTACAGGCTGCCCACCCTGTCTTTTGGGCAAGGATGTACTACCGCTGCCTCTTAATTTTGGGAAAATCAAATCTTCCTTCCTCACACAATCAAAATCTCAGCCTGTGGAGAAGGCGAGGCAGTGTCCCGCCGCACAGAGCAAAGGGCCTATTCTCTCAGGACAAAACTCCAGCAGCATGGCACCAAGCAACTTGAAATCGGGCAAATCCCAAATGATTGGCATTCAGATTAATAACCGTAGACAACAGCAGGAAATGCACCAGAGCCCTAGTCGCACTACAGTGCAAGATAAAGGGAAATCAAGGCTGTTGGCTTCTCAATTAGGAACAGGGAATAGCAGCATCAACAGCTCTTTGGAGAACCCTTTGACCAAAGCTGCTGGGTGCACTAGTCGAGAAGTAGAGTTTTTCAGTAACAGATCTGCTGGGAATAGATATGTGGGATTTGATGGACTGCCTTCTAAAAGATTTAGGCCTAATCTCTTTGCTCTGGAACAGATCGACTCTGCTCGACATCGGACAGAGAGTGAAACTGCTAGATTACCTCTTTCAGGCAAATATTCAGGTCTGCTCCCTCAGGAATGTTCACACACCAAGCTTGCCTCTCTCCTGCCTTTCAAACAAGGGCTCATGAGCTCCGAAAGAGATGCTGTAAATCCAATGACTGTTCTAAAACCATACGAAACGTATAACCCGGGTTCATTTGCCAGTTCCTGTGGATCGGGTAGCAATCACGTCCCCAGCTCTTCAAAAGAAGGTATATAGTTTCTTAGCTTTCAGCAATGAAAGATGGCAAAATAAAACATTCTTTAAAACAAAAGAATACTTGCGAGTGAAGTTGGGAGATCAAACCAGAATTTCATCCAACTCTTGATGTACAGGTAGTCCTTGACTTAAAACAGTTTAGTAACCGATGGAAGTTACACATCACTAAAAAAGTGACTTACGACCATTTTTCTCACAATCATTACAACTTCACCATGGCCACACAGTTAAAATTCAGATGTTTGGCAACTGACTCATATTTATGACGGCTGCAGTGTCCCAGGGTCATGTGATCACCTTTTGCAACCTTCTGATAAGCTAGGTCAGGTGGGGAACCTTGGGTTTTTTATGACTTGTGGACTTCAACTCCCAGAATTCCTGAGCCAGCCAGCTGTGTAATTAATTTAACAACTACAGTGATTCACTTAACAACTGTGGCAAAAAAAGTTGTAAAATAAGGCAAAGCTCACTTAACACGTATCTCACTTAGCAACGGAAATGTTGGGCTTAATTGTGTCGTAAGTCAAGGACTACCTGCATTTTTAGGATAGCCTCCAAACTAGTATTTGCTTCATCCTTGGTTTTCATATCTAGATAGCTGCCTGATACCAAGTTAGACCACTGAGATTTTTAATTTCCGCCACATTGGGTGATAGTTGTCTGTCCAGGGATTCAGGCAGAGACCTTGAACAGTCAAGGCATTAAACATCTGATGTAGTCCTTACAAAGATGCAGCCCTTTATCTTGTCCCACTGTGGGACTCTTTAATGGAGGTATGAACTTCTCTCAATCTGTTATTTTTATTTACAATGCAGTAATCCCAGGAATAGGGTTGCTCAACATTTTGTTTGAGGGCTGCCCTGGGCACTTGAGTGTAGGTTAAATTACATTTGATTTCTTTTTTATTCAGATTTTAGATATATTTAATATGATTGCTTCTTGTTTACTTCAAAATCAGCTCTTCTGTCCCATTAAAACTTGCAGTTCGGTTGCAAATGTTGGTGGGGTTCAAGGACCTGAGTGCGAGGTCTGATGAAATACCTGAGGTCTCTGGGTGACTCTGGCTGTACACCCTACCACATGTGATTATGACTTTTCATATTCTATATGGGCTGTGAGGCAAAATTTGATCGTCATTTTCCTTGAAAAGTTTTTTTTCCCAACTTCCTAATCTATTCTGTAACAATTCCCAATGATCTTTCATATAAATATTCTTGAGATTGGCAGCTTAGTCCTAAATCCAGATAGGTGCTATGTTTATTAGGTGCTGTCCATAGAGAAAGAATATAAATAAAATAATGCAGAATTGCTGAGTTTTGATACATCTTCTCATTCAAGCTAAAGTGAGACGAGAGGGTAGAAAATTTATTTATTTATTTATTGGGTTTGTAGGAGGATAGCGGGCACAAGTACTCCTTTCCCCCTCCAAAAACATTACCCACAAAAATACAACAACAGTTTTAAAAAATTATTGCTCTTAAATTTAGCTTGTATTAATGGAGTTCTAAAACATGTACATAAAGTACAGTGTGATTCCATGTAAGTTAATGTTAACTGATTTTGTAACTGATTACAGATTGGACTTCAAACTTAGTGAATCTGTAAGTGCAAAAGGGGATTTGAGGAAACCAGTGTTCATTGACATGACACACTCTGTAATGTCAAAGAATTTGTGTGAAGATTTTTGATTAAAAGAATTCAGATCGTATCCTCTGATACTGAGTGTATGGTTCATCTGTTTTTAAGAATCTGATAGGATCTGAGTTAAAGAGTAAATTCTTGCTGTTCTTGTTTGGTGGTTTATGGCAGAGGCCTCCAACCTTTTGAGCACCAGGGACTGGTTTCATGGAGAGAGGTTTTTCCGCGGAGGGGGCGTGGTTTTATGTGCTGCCTGCATCTTGCGGATGAGGCTTTGCTTGTTTATGTGGCCTGGTTTCTGGCATGCTGTGGTCTGGTGCCGTCCATGGACCGAGGGTTGGGGACCCCTTGTTTATGGTGAACATGCCAATGTCTATGAGAAGATTCTAGGAAGATGCACCCATTGTTGCCCCTTCAGTTTTGGCTTGGGAGAATCATTAACCAATAATAGGGATGAAAGACAGTCCGAATGTGATTCCCTTAGCTTAATGTTTAGGCAGCCTAAATATTTACAATAGCTACTATGTTAATTCTCTCTGAATGCCTCCTAGTTTTAATGTAATATCGTAAATGCTGTATTGGGATGAAAAGTTATTATGATTATGAAAGATAATAGAAACAACAGCTACTGGAAGGTTTTATTGATATTTCAATTAAATGATAATGCTTAATCAGCTGTAATGCAAAGATACCTAGGTTTCACTATCATTCTTGAAAATGGGAGAGGGGACTCATGAATATGTTACAATTTTATACTTTCAAGTTCTATGAGGAGGCATAGTTTATTTTGATGACTGAGAGAAATACCTAAGACACATTTATAGGGATCATGCACTTAATAGTCCTGTCTTAATTTGTATTCCTTTGTTAATATATTGTAATGTTTGTTACTAGGAAAAAGACCAGTGTCATATCAACACCTATCTAATTCCTTGCTGCAAAAGCGAAGTTATGAGAACTTTATTGGCAATACCCATAACCGCCTGAATGATAAAAAAACATGATTTGGCTGCAACAGATGGTAAGGTACATTTGATGCATAAATACACATATTTTACATTTCCAGTGCTAATTTGAAAGACCTGTGGGGTCCTATGTCTTGCTGAATTTCAGCACCCCTCATCTTTTACCATAGCCATGTTGACTAGGTTCTCTGGGAGTTATGGTCCAGTAGCACTTGGAGGGTGTCAGGTTCCCCCTCTTTAATGTAGAGGAATTTTCTTTAACTCAGTGCTCTGTGGATGTGTCCAAACTACAGGTTCCAATTCTCTTATCTATCATGTCCCTAAACATCTGGAAAATTAAAGGTTTAGTTTAAAGTGTGTATAATTTACCCCTGGATTCAAAGTAGTGTTCTAAAACTGTATTCCAAAATACGGGTGAGCCAAGACAAAATTAAAGTTATTTTACTTAAACTTAAGGAAATATTAATTAAACGTAGTTAATGATCTCATACATTTAACACATTTCCCATACTGGTATTTTAAAAATTAGAGTTTGGTAGTAATCTTTGAAATATCTTAAGGTTTTCAAGATTGAATTACGGGGACACAATTTCTTCATCTCCTGTTTGGAAAATGTTAGAGGTTAACATATGTTAAGCAGTTCTCAAACTATTAAAATAAGCTTTACTTACAAATAAAAAGAACCTGTCCCAAAAAATGTTATGTATTTCACTTTCTATCATATAGGAATTTTAATGGAGGACTGGGAAATCTAACCCACTAAATATTGCCGAACTACAATTCCCAGTATACATCACTGTCTAATGCTTGCTATAGTTCTTGAGAGGATTGTTCATCTCCCAGTAAAACAACACCTCTACATATACACCCTGTACCACATAATGGTGATGTGATAATATGAGCAGAAAATTGGGTTATTTTTTTTGCTTTCCAAAAATATTACGCATTTAAGCTTCCTGAGTATTTGTGGTTCGTGTCTTTTGTTTCACCATAAAGTAATGGTATTTCTTCCTAAGATGGCTCTGAAGTTAAGGTTTGTAATTAGAATTTAGACTTAATTTCAGCGTCCCAGCAGGTACTGCTGGAAAATACTGTTACTTTACACCAGACACATCATAGTTTCCACAAGCTAGTTTCCATTGCAACCTTAAATTACATAAAATGAAATCTGACCCCAAAGAATCATGCTTTTACCTAAACCTCAATACCGTATTTCCTGCATTTTGTAGTAAATCTTTAGAAAGATCAGTGCCTTTACAAAATATAGAAACGATGCTAAAAATACTGTTTTTGCATCTGTTGTGAGTTGTTTGAAAAGAACCATTTTTCCTCTATTCCAGGTGTGAAGACACAGATTTTGAATTACCTTACAGTTCATCTCTTGAGAATGATAGAATGACAAAAGCTACCAAACTAAGCTGTGATTTTATTGTGCACAGAGGAAAAACACTACAGTTGTGTAATGGAAGATTTGATCCTGTTTGGATGAAGCAATGTAAACGTTATTGTCCAAGACAGTGTTGTCCAAGTGTGTGTATCTTTTCCCAATTTTGAATAATATTTTTTTCTTAGAATTACTGTAGACCAAATATTCAACTTAAATATATTTTTGCATATGTGAGTGCTGCTTATGTTGTGTGCAGTCCTTGCATCTCAGGTAAAGCTGTACATTCTGTTTCCCTCATTGAAATGCAGAGAGGATTTTTGCTTAAAATTTTCAAGTTTTGTTTTCTTTAAAAAATAATTTTTGAAACAAAACCCCTTTATGTATTACTTATGTTCATTTTAAGCACCATTATTGCCTCTCAGATTATATCAGGAACATTTAGCACCAAACAAGACCATACTATTTTTGGAGACATCATACTTTCTCCAATTGAATCTTGTTTTATTTTTCTTTTAGCATCTCTTCCATAAGGGAATGAAATTAATTGATTGCACTCTTGGATAGTGTAGGGCAGAGGTCTCCAACCTTGACAACTTTAAGATTTGTAGACTTCAACTCCCAGAATTGGTTATTTCAGTTTACCCCTTTTCTTTTCTTAAATGCCATTTTCACCTCTACACATGCATCGTTGTGCAAAAATGTATAGATGTAAATAAATTGTGTACATATGCCTAAGAGGGAACATAAGGTTCCTCTCAAACACCAATGCCAACTATACCAACTCTTGCATATTTACTTGACAAACTGAAGGTTCAATCTGCCTTCCTCACATGACTTCATAGATGGAAGATTCCCACAGATTGCCCATGCAACTTGTCCCCCTCTCAAAGACTGTTTGCTTTGGATCAGGATAAAATTTTAGTTACATTGTGATGCACACAGGAATTGCCTTGAATTGGATGCTTGTGTTCCCTTATAGAGATTCTGCAGTCACACTTCTCCATACAGCTACAAGTACTACTTGGGTCCCATTTGAAAAATCAGGGCATATGTCCAGCATTCTTTGTCAAAACCAAAATTGTGTGTATAAGGGTTCTTGTGAGGTAATGTTTATCTATATACACTTTGTAAGTTGTTTAGCCCAAAGTTGAGTGACAAATTTAACAAGGAAAGATTGTTTGTTCTTTTGTTTTTAAATCCTAGAGGGTTTTGTTTGTTTATTTCAAACTGCACAGGACTGAAAATTGAATAGGAGAATTGTTTGCTGGCTGAAAAATTGAATTGTACATGTTAAAGCTGGATGTTCCAAGTATTTTGTAAAAGCCTTAACAGCAGCTTAAATGTTATTTTCAGTTTGACCTAACCATGTTTCCAGAACAAAAACGGTTTCAAAAATACTTTTTTGCACTGTTTGAATGTGTTTCCTATCAGATGTAAATTTGCAGAAGCTAGGTAGACATTCTTGGAAGTTTTCTTCACACCCAGCAAGCAACTTTGGAAGCGTTTTAATTTTCTGACTTCCTGTATGTGAAAAAATTTATCTCCGTAAAACTGGCAATGGAATGAAGTGCTGTGTATCAGGAAATTGTACAAAATTTATCCTTTTCCTGTTCATAAGCTGAGCCATATGTACATAAAATCTAGATTTGTTTTCCTAGTTTTGCACTTTTATAGCCTATTTTTGAAGATGAATACATTTGAAAGATGGCTGATCTATTTTTGCCTGAAGCTTAAATGAGTCTTGTCTCTTTTTTTCCCCATTCTCTGTTTTTAAGTAATGGAGCTTAATAAAATAATAATTTTAAAAAAGGACTAGGACTATATTTAATTACAGTTTTTAAAAGCATCTCTTGCTTTTTGTTGGTGCAGTCTTCTAGAAGCTTATAAGCACCCTTCTCAATTGAAGACAAAATTAAGAACAGAGGCCTTAAGTTCCCAGTCAGGGTTCCCAGTCCCATTTCCCTTTTAAGCACAGGAATTACTGCAGCACAAGCTTTTTCCTGTCCTACTGTAAGTCCCTATGAAAAGACCTGGCTGACTCTTGTTCTAGTCTATATCGGAGTTGGATTGGGTTGCAGGAGGGAGTAATACTACTTCCCTTCACACTTCTGATGTTATATTTGCAGCAACTTCTGCATATTGTGTGGACTTCAACTCTTCACATACGCAACAGGGTCCCACGGTGGCTTGGTCATTCTTTGAGCTCGTCTATACATCTGGGGGATGTCCACATGGAGGAAAGCTGCTGATGGGATATTGCAAAAGAGTCCTTAAGCATAGTCCACTAAACCCTTCTGGGCAGAGATGGGATACCAACCAGGTCAAAAGGAAAAGATGCTGCTTATTTGTAGTTATTTGTAAATTACAACATTGATCTCCAAAATAGGTTTTGCCCATCAGTATTAACTATGGGATACTACTGTTGTTTCTTTCTTTTTGGTAATAGTGATGAGAATGCTGGTACAATTGTTATATTTATTTCTTTCTACCATGATTTATAATTGTTAAATTCTTACATTGTTGAACTGTAGACACCATAAAAGTCATTTAATTTATGCTGCGTTTTCAATTTAGTGTAATTTGTTATATGTGATGTAAATACAAATGTGGTGAGAGGTTGGGTTTTTGTTTTTGTTTTGCAAATACTCTTGTCCTTTTTTGTGTCTTCTGACTATATATGAAAAGAATGAAATGGAGCATGTTCATTCATAGTTATGAGTTGAGAAAGGTAGTGCCCTAGATGTATTTATTATTTCACATGGTTACAAAGAACATTTATTTCGTGTTTGTGTGTATGTATTGGGAGTGGAGTTTGAAAAAAACAATTGTGGCCCATGTGGAGGGCAAAGGGAGTCACATTGATGAAGATAGCTTTAGAGTATTTAGGCTCTAAATCAGTAGTTCTCAACCTTTTTAATGCCGTGACCCCAACCGGTCGTAAGTCAAGGACTAAACCGGTCGTAAATCGAGGACTACCCAACCGATTGTAAGTTGAGGACTTTCCCTGCCCGGGAGCACCGCACATGCGTGGTGCCCCCTGTGCTGGCCGAGACGTAGCTGGCAAGCGGCAGAGACGGAGCAGGCCGACCACCGGCTGGGCCACCAGCTGGCCCAGCCCAAAGGAGGTAAGGCACCCGCCGGAAAAGGGGAAAAAAAATGGCGGACAGCCTTGCTTGGCAACCCCCGTGAAATGGTTGATCGACCCCAAATGGGGTCGCGACCCATAGGTTGAGAACTGCTGCTCTAAATGCATTGTAAGATGCCAGTTAGGTCCAGAAGAGGCAGACTTTACACCGGGCTTAAGCAATTAATTTTTCTAAGGGACCACAGGAGAAACTGTTGTGGAGGGCTGAACCAATAGACTGCACTAATTTCCATGTGTTGAGGGAAGAAAGGAATGCAGAGTCTCACCTCAGCCCAACTGCCACTTTTCTGTCCGATGCTGAAAAGTTCTCTTGCTGACTAAATAGGAATAGCACTTAGATTTATGTACCGCTGCACAGTGCTTCACAGCCATCTCTAAGCGGTTTACAAATGTCAGCAATCTGGGACCTCATTTTACCAACCTCGGAAGGATGGAAGGCTGAGTCAATCTTGAGCCGGTGAGAATCGAACTGTTGGCAGGTTAGCCTGCAATACTGCATTCTAACCATTGCATCACCATGGCTCTAAAGGAGTGCACTCTTCTCCCGCCTCCTGTGGTGCACTTTATTTTATTTTATTTTATTTTATTTTATAGACCTCAAGTGAGCCAGACCGTTGGATGTGGCCGCAGGGTCTGGTTTATGCTGTGATGTTGCATTCATTTAACAAAAGCAACAAGATCCTGTGGACACCATTATAAATGGAAGTTTTTCCTCGGGTCTAGTAGGAAAGATGTGTCTTTGCCAAGAAGCGATCATTTAAGAAGAACTTGTAGATTGTAGATTTTGCCTTAGTTCAGCCAGATCACTCAAAAGAAACAAAACATGCTGTGTTTTGGCTTGCATGTTCTCCCATATGGTGTGCTTCAGCTATTTGGTTTAATAGTGCTTTTCAAACTTGTAAACTTTTAAGTTGGGTGGACTTCAGTTCCCCAAATTCCTAGCCGTGCTATCCATGTTGGAAAACTTACCCAAGTTTGAAAAACGGGTCATTAAATAAACTCTCATGGGCAAATAATATGTACTTCTGTAAATTAGATTTGACGCTGGCTCGGAGGGAGTAGCGTTTGTACCACAGGAGCAGAACATGGAGTGATTACAGGAAAACCTTTTGTACCTCTTCGCTAAAGACCTTTTAAGTGATCTGAAGATCATAAGCTTCTGTTGCACTTTGCAGTGATCCAGTTTTGCTACTTGCATACAGATTTGGGTTTAAATAAAAGCAGTAGATTGTTACCTTGAAATAATATTTAATAACAGTAGAGCCATTTTGGTATAGTTGGCCTAGAAACCAGGAGATGGCGAGTTCTAGTTCTGTCTTAGGCATGAAAGCCAGCTGGGTGACCTTGAGCCAGTCACTGTTTCAGCCAATCCATCTCACAGGGTGGTTGTGGGGAAAGGAGTATTGGTTATGTCCACCACCTTGAGTTATTTATAAAAATAATAAAGCCGGAATAAAGATAAATTAATAAAAAGTAATTGAAGGGGTTGTATTCCTTCTGGCAATTTCATGGCAGAAACTTTCAGTCCTGTGATTTATATCAAATTATCTGGATAATTAAACTATAAGAGCTCCATCATTAAAAATCGGCCCAGAGTTGTTGGATACAAGATGGGGCAGCAAATAAAATTTCTAAATAAAAGAAAAAGCTGCTAGAAACACACTATCTAAATTTTATAGGGGCATGTTCATAAAATTACTTTATAATCCAGATAGCCTAAACCTGAGATTCTTAAGAGAGAGGGGTTTTGCATAATAGCTAGTGATCCCACCAAGGCCCGGGTTTTATAAAATTATTTTCCCATGCAGTGCTTAGCAGAAAGATCTGCTTTGGAGAAAGTCAGATTTCTTTTGGGGTAAAGATTTGGTGGACACTTGTCTTCTTTTCAGAGAAGACATTTCTGCCTGTCTCAAGAAGCCCACAAGGGGGCACTCCAAGGCTAGTTGACACTAATTCCCAAATAGCTTTAAATCCTTTTTTGTACAGATGCTTACTAGTGAACTCTGAAAATCCATTTTAAATCATTCTTCCCTTTAGATATGTATAAGCTGCTGGAATTTGTAGTCCAACAATATCTGGACATTTGAAATTTATCCACCCCATGTCCCAGTGAAGGCTGGGCAACACGCCCTACTCCACAATCTTTATTTTCTATCAAAAGCAATTCATGCTGCTGTATCAACTCATCAGCTGAATAGAGCTGTTACATCAGTGTTGATTCTATATAATAAAAGTGTATGTGTGTGTATGTGTGTGTGTGTGTTTGAAATAAATATATTTGCAGAAAAAAGGCTTTGCTACTTCTGCCAGCTGGAGGACAGCATGAAAATTGTATTCAACAAATACTCAATTCTCTTTGTTTAAATAATATGTAAAAAGACTTTGCATTTGCATTTGAGCCCAGTCTGAATATAGGTCAGCAGTGTGACATGGCGGTAAAAAAGCACAGAGATAAATTGAGGCTGCATCAATAGGAATACTTTCTGAATTACTTTCTAAATTATAGGAAGTAAGAGTTCCCTTCCTTTTTATATTGGTCAATCGCCACATAAGTACATGGCCCAGTGTTAAACTGTGCAGTTTAAAAGATTAAGACCAAATGAAATGGATACTGAGAAGGAAAATTAAGATGGTCAGAGAAATGGGAATTGTGTGATAAGCCTTATAAAGGGAAACTAAGGTTGGAGGTGATTGTTCTCATTATGTATGGAACCTGAAATTATGTCAGAGAAGATATTCTCTATTGTTCCTGGGTTGAGGTCACAAAAATAATGGTTTTAACTTGCAGGGAAATAGTGTTGATTAAATGTTAAAGCAAAACTACTTAAAGGTAAGACCAGTTTTGGGAGGTTTTGGATGCCCCTTCATGGGATATCTTGCAACAGAATTGTTCAATTGCGGTGTCTGACACTTTTCAACGCCATGGACCACAGCACACAAAGATCCCCCACTGTGTCCTCTGCCCAAACATAATTACATCAATGACACTATCTACCCATCTCATCCTTTGCAGTCCCCTTCTCCTTTGTCTTCAATCTTTTCCCAACATCAGGGTCTTTTCTAATGCAAACAATAGGGGACTTGTTTGCAGAATGCACTATTTGATCCTGGCTGAAGAGAGAATGGACTTATGTGGCCTAAATTGCCTTATCAGACTTCAGCTTCTTCAGAATAGCTAAATGGAATAAAGTAGCCTTTAATTGCATTAGGTCAGTTTTCCTGTATCCCAGGCTTTCTAGATGTGATGGAATTGCAATTCCCAACCCATCTGGTTTAGCCAATTGCCATGTTAGGCTGATTATGTATTCCTAAAATCAACAGCATTAGGAAATCCTATTTTAGAACAATTTGTAAGTCTTGTGACCACAAGGGGACAGTATAAGCTCATAGATGGGACCTAGAATACAGGTAGTCCTCGACTTACAACAGCTCATTTAGTGACCATTCGAAGTTACAATGGCACTGAAAAAAATGACTTATAACCATTTTTCACCCTTACGACCGTTTCAGCATCCCCAGGGTCACATGATCAAAATTCAGATGCTTGGCAACTGGTTCATATTTATGACGGTCACAATGTCCCGGGATCATGTGATTCCCTTTTGCGACCTGACAAGCAAAGTCAGTGAGGAAGCCAGATTCACTTAACCACCGTGTGATTCACTTAACAAATGTAGCAAGAAAGGTTGTAAAATGGGGCAAAGCTCGTTTAAGAAATTTGTCAGCAACATAAATTTGGTGCTCAATTGTGGTCATAAGTCGAGGACTACCCGTATTCCTACATGACCCATACATTTGGAAAGTTAAAAGTGTTTACACAGAAGATGCTTTGTGATTGGTCTCTGTAGGCACAAATAGTAGCTTCTACCTCTCAAGTTTATTTCATGAACCCTGGTGGCGCAGTGGTTAGAATGCAGTATTGCAGGCTGACTCTGCTGACTGCCAGCAGTTTGGCAGTTCGATTCTCACCAGCTCCAGATTAACTCAGCCTTCCATCCTTCTGAGGTTGGTAAAAGAAGGAACCAGATTGTCAGGGGCAACATGCTTACTCTGTAAAACGCTTAGAGAGGGCTGTAAAGCACTATGAAACAGTATATAAGTCTAAGTGCTATTGGTATTGCTATAACATTGATACGGGTTATTTAAATGAATAAATTTATTTATTTAAATTAATAAATCTGTATTATATAATTTAATACAAGCATTATTGGGCAATAGATTTTATTTTTAAAAAACATGCAGCACTAAAATTCAAGTAATGTATACCAAGTAAAAACAAAGATGATGGAATCAATGGCTTTAAATAATACAACAATCCTGTTGTGCATTCTTGAATGCTGAGATGGATATTAATATATGCCTAAATTATTGATTGATGGGAGGTAAGGTGGGTTAGGGTGAGAAAAGACTATGGAACTGCATCTACATGGAAGGAAGTGCATAGTGGGGTGCCCCAGGGCTCTGTTCTGG